AAATGTGTGGTTAAAAATGAGTAGAAGAGTGAGAATGAAAAATATAATCTGACTCAAACAGGGGCTTAAGAGATGTCTAGAATGGAGAGACTTTTGGAAACATGAATTTGCTAATGAGGGTGCTTTAATTATATGAATAGGTCCAATGTTGCTAGCTTTTTTGGGACATTAAGAATTTTATGACCAATTCAACACATAATGATTACTGATATCCATCACTTTAAAAAGTTGAAATAAAGCTGAAAGAGTAAATGTTTGACTACATAATCATGTCATGGCCGCTCCATTGAGGATTGGGATATGCTCCTATTCGATTATCGGATCTTAGAAAAATAATACCGTTGGGTTCAGTTGTCGTTGTCCACTATCGAACTTTACAATGCTTATTATTTTTAATTAAAAACTCTCTCGATAATAATAGATTTCAATAAATCATCTCAACTAGTAGCTAATTATTTGAAAAGTCTAAAGACAGCATGTTTTGGCTGAAAGAATTGACATTGAAATTTCTCAAAATGTTTTCCGGTGGAGCATGTCTGGACTTTATGTCGGTGTCACTTTCTTGTGTCCATCTGTATTCTCTTTGACCAATACGAAAACAAATGCCACACATGATAATTGAACACGAAAACAAATGCCTAATTTTATATGTGAAATTGTCTGGTCAAAATTTAATTATGTCACCGATCCGATTTGGTTCGATTTCATACCATAATTAAAAAAAATTAACATTGACAACAACACTAATGACATGTTTAATATGAACTCTTTGAATTTTGACTTACAAAGTCGCACTGCTGAAAAATGATATTTGGGCCTAATTAATTAGTTGACAAATGAAATAGAAAAATAATACCGTTGGGTTCATTATGCTCCTATTCGATTATCGGATCAAATCAAAATTTTCGAGTATTTTATATGTGAAATTGTCAGGTCAAAATTTAATTATGTCACTGATCCGATTTGATTCGATTTCATACCATAATTAAAAAAAATTAACATTGACAACAACACTAATGACATGTTTAATATGAACTCTTTGAATTTTGACTTACAAAGTCGCACTGCTGAAAAATGATATTTGGGCCTAATTAATTAGTTGACAAATGAAATAGAAAAATAATACCGTTGGGTTCAATTAATTAATTGTTGAATTCATTTGGGAAAAAAATTAAAATAATTTGGTTTATTTAATATATAAAAATTAGGTAGATTCGATTATTGGTCTAGAATCGAGAACCGAACCAAGTTTGTCATTCTTGATTCTGATACTCATCTAGTATTTAACTTAAGAACCGAATAAAACCGCTCAATTTGGTTCGATTCGGGTCCAATTTGGTTCGAAAGTTTTATTTAGCCCTAACTTCATATGTATTTATATAGAGAGAAAATTGTTTTTGTGAAATTTGTTTGTCAAGAATTGATAACATTATATATAAAATACTCGTAAATCATTTTATTTCGAGTCTTCAATAATTAAACGATCCATAAATAATACAATTTTTTCTTTATTTTTGAAAAATAATTCATAAAAATAAATTTCAAACTAATCGTTATTTACAAAATTAGGCATAATATTAATGTACATAGGCCAAAAGAATTTTTGATAGATTATTAACTTCCCTACTGTATGAAATAATCTACCTCCTTCATTTTTGGTAATCCAAATCCCATTTATTAATCTAAAACCACTTAATCCTCGTTCGTAAGTTCGTTTGGCTTTAATCCATTAAATAGTACTATTGATTTGTCAAAATAAGAATATTAAAATGGCGACAGATTCCGAGGAGACAGAGAATAGTAGAAAGCGACTCAAAAGCCGGCATATCAACCACGCGTCGCTAATTCCCTTACACTAACCTAACCCCACTACCATGACGTCTTCAATATTATTTTCAGAAAATAGAAAGGGAATTGACAATATCCAAATAAATATTATTTCTACTATTACTATGCATGAATCATGATTATACAATTATCCATGTGTCCATTATGGCACTCCTAATGTACAAGAAGAATTATTCTATATTTAATTAAACTACGGCTAATTAATAAATGAAAGAACAAAGTTTATTAAATTAAAAGCAAACACACTCAAAATAAGACGGTAAAAATAAGCGAAAGTAGTCATATGTTAAATCTCTAACTTTTGGTCTATATTTATTGTTTCGAGTTTAAATTGAATGACACATCATTTATACCCCTCAAAATCCTTCGAATTAGAAATGTGACGTATATTTAGTTTTTATTAATATTAATAAATGGTAGCATAATATATCCTCAAAACTTTTACATTCATATGTTTGTCTTAAGGTAAATAGCACAAAACGTCTTTATTGAACTTCAATTTCATTGTGCAAAACGTCCATATCTTTCATTTTTTGACATTTTCACCCATACCTTCCACATTTCATTGCGTAAAATGTCATTTTCAACCATTTTTCCAATAAAATTACGATTTTACCATTCTATTCAAATTAAACAAAGAAAAGGAAAAATAAAAATAAACAACTAATTGCAATCATATGCCTAAAATTTTCAAAATATTACAGATAAATTCTAAATTCTCCACCACCGCCACTTTCACAATCCAACCAAGCTGACACTTATAAATTCACATAGTTCCACCTTCTGGCCACCACGCCCGTCAGACTCCACCACCACTAGCCTCTCTTCACTCTACCCAAATCATCTCCTATAGTATAGGTCACAAAATCTGTCGAAAACAGTCACATTTGCAACCTAAAATACCAAATTGTCGTATACAACCCTTTGCAGCAACCCCACTTTCGGCACCACCCACGGTCGCGCACCACCACCGACGGTTACCCCTCACCTCGACGAACTTATACATGGCCTCACATCAATCAAATCTGCATCAAATCATTCTACTGTAATCTAGACATTTGACAATGACGACGTCCATTTTGCCAAACTCTTGTCCTTCAATTCATGCATCCCACAACACTTAATCCCCAAATTGGCATCGATCGAATCATCAACAAACCCAAACGACAATGGGTATGAATCTAACTGAACCAATTATCCCTCCAACCGTTTCAATTTCTGGTCTAAAACTCTCAACGGGTGCGATGCATGGAGAGAGCTGTCTGACCAAAATTGGTGGGTCTTAAGTGCTCTAATCTTCAAATTCGTGTGGGGGAGGACGGTGGGGGAGTGAAGCGAGGTTGGTGGTGGTGAAGTTCGATGGACATGGACAAAGGTGTCAATCCGGGTGGTTCGGGTCGGGTCGGCCCGCCAACATATGAGCCAAGTAACGGTCCGAGTGAAAAAAAGCCCACCTGCTACAGGTTATGGGCCGGCCCACAAATTTTGGACTACAACCCAAGCCCGCCCGCTGACCATCCGGGTCGAGCCCATGCGAGTCACGGGTCGCGATTTGTTCCAATTTGGCCAGTATTATTATATAAATAAAATTATAAAAATATAGAATTTTTCATATTTATAGCAAAAAATATTTTTTTTGTTAAATGTAAACTAAGAATTGAATAAAATGATAAATTCATATTTATACCAAGAAATGTTTATATAGAATTCAAATTTAATATTACATGAATTATTTATAACTTTGCAAAATTAAATTTAACTTAAACAAATAACAATTAAATGTATTTCTAATTACTATTATCAAATATTTATATCATAAGTATATCTCAACTAGGTTGGCACCTACTTTTATTATAATTTATAGTTTAAGTACATCCTAACTAGATTAACTCTTTCCCTTTTTTTTTTCAAATTAAAAAAAAAAAAAAAAATTCACGGGTCAGCGGATTAACCACGGTCCGTGAATGTGCAACCCGGAAACCCGCGGGTCACACTTCCTTGACCCGTGAACCGCCCGCTCGGATCACGGGTCGGCCCGCGGTCCCGGGTCGATCCAGGCCGGTTTTCACGGGTCTGGCCGGCCCGTCCATCTTGACACCTCTTGGTGACCGAAATGTGGTGCTATGTGGATCTATAGGTGGTAGCTTGGTAAGTTGTGAAAGTGGTAGTGGTGGAGAATTTATGATTTCTTTATAATTTTTTAAAAACTTGGATTACAGTTGCAGTTGGTTATTCATCTTTTTCTTTTTTGTTTTATTTGAATAGGGGGTAAAATCGTCTTTTATTTAAAAAAATGGATAAAAAGGACATTTTGTCCAATAAAAGATGGAAGGTATGAGTGAAAATGCCAAAAAATGAAAAGTATGAACGTATTTCACAATGACATTGAAAGGTGGGGATGTTCTTTGCTATTTACCCTTTGTCTCAAATTGTGAAAGGTAAATCTAACTTTTTATTAGAAACCTGAACATTTTATCTATATCAATATCAATTATGTATCACAGAAATTTAATTATTTAAATTCTCACTAAAATGTAAACTTACACGTAAAAAAAAATGGCAAAAAAGTGAGAGATGAGGGGTCAAATCGAGATACTCGAAAGTGCACGTGAATATACTCAAGCCCATCCAAACAAATCAAACCCTAATAAATATTTACCTTTTTATACAAATTCGTACGCTGCAAAAGTAAATCCAATCCGGGAAAACCTTGTACTGTGTATTAAGCTGAGAATGGAAAGAGTCTCCACTTGCACTTTCACACGCTTGCTCTTTCTCACCTTTTGCTATCACAGTAGTAAATATGTTTGTTTCCACACTCAACTCAACACGTAAAAATAGTAAAACTAATTATTCGGTAAAAAAACTGCAGATGTCATCAAAAAGTTATCATAAATGAACAAACATGCACATGGATTAAGCAATAGCAGTAAAAAAAATAAATTTATGGGATGTTTTCAAACAGTAAACAAAAATGGATAACTACGCAAGAAAAGAGTGGATTAAAATTCTTCATAATTAATAACGATAAATCTTCAAGATGAGATAAATATACATACAAGTTCCTCATAGGGATTTTTTAATAAGTTCAAGAAAACTCTTAAGTTCCTTCTTAAAGTCATAAACATCGCCAGAAAATGCTAAATACTTCGTTACATCCACATGGGTGGAGGCTCGTTCAAGTCAATGGGCAACCCACGTTTCACAATCCCAAAATACCTAGCCGGACCGTCGCCTTCCACAACCGGAGGTCCGGATGAGGAAGCTACATGAACTCCATTGCCTACTGGAGACAAGCATTTGTCACCAGCCTTGAAACTCGCATCTTTGACGACCCCAGTCCGGATAAAGTCATTTAGCACGAGAGTGCCTGATGGAGAGACCCATCGATTATCAGACGGAAGGTTGAGATCCAAGGGATGACCTAGCGGCGGAGCTGGAAAGTTGGTCTTCGCCTTGGTACCGCGGAGTGACCTGGCGGCGCCGTCGTAGGCCAGTGCAGCCTCCTCAGGGGTGTCAAAAGTGCCCAACCAAACACGGGTTTTCTTCCACGGGTCACGAATCTCCGCCGCGTACCGTCCCCAAGGGCGCTTCCTCACTCCTCTGTAGTGGCCCTCACGTGTGGAAGCCATGACCGAGACAAAGGATCCTAGAGAGAAATTTGAGCGGTGCAGTGTTTTCCAAAGAGAGACAACAATATGTTGAGGCCTAAAAAGAAGAGTTTTGCGGCAGTGTGTGTGAGAAAAAGTTGGGTCCCACTGAGTCCCCGTAATCGTCGGCTGGACGGCTTAAATAAACAATTTAGGAGTTAAATCAAGACCTAGTCCATTTTCACTTCTCCACCGTTGATTTCGATCAAAAAACGATGTTCCATAAAAGTTGATTATTCTACACACATTCACGTCCTTATTTATGTTGTTGTTGAATAGGCAAGTCAAAAATGTAAATTGAAGTTAATGCACACAACTTGTTCCGTTGTTCCAATTAAGCATTACAAAATTTATGCACAAGGTTTTGACTTCTAATTAACGTATTAAATTTCCATTATTACTACGTAATATAGTTGAAAATTTTAATTGGCATACTTTGAAGCACGAACTTCAACAATCCATACGTGTCACATTTTTGGACACTTGGCAATAAATTGCTCACATTTCTAGCGGTGCCGAAATTTGACATTTGAGATTCAAATTCTCGATATGACCTAATACTATAACAATTTTAATCAATCAATTTCGTCGATAAAAATCACGAGAACAAGTAAAGTTCCAAGCTTTATTTTTAAGAAAGGAAGAATAAAAGAATATTAATTTTTATTTTTATTTTTTAATCACGAATTAACTATCATTTGATCAAAAATTAATAAAGTCATGGGCCGTTATAGATTTTTTTACAGGTGGCTGGTCAACCCCGTTTGGAGTTGGTCAAACCGTATAGAGTTAAACGCAAGAAGGTAGAGTAACACCTGGCAGACATAATGAAATATATGGAACTAAAAAAGGAGAAAAAAAAAAATAGGGTAGTGTACTTGGTTTGGAGGAGGCAGGCAAGAGCCGCCGATTGATAACACGTGTCGTGGCCCAGCCTTACGGCGCTGCTCAGCGGCGCCTCTGCCTTTTTCTTTTATTTCTTTAATCAATAAAATATTTTAGTGCCTATATGATATGTGAACCAAATTGGACACTATTTGCTAAAAAATTATATTTTTTATTTTACTCACTTGTTTAGTGCACATTTTGAGTAATAATACATTTTTTTGTTTGATATAGCGGTGGCAACGAGCTGAGTTGAGCCGAGTCGAGCCCGGATCGGGAAAAAAAAGCTCGGGCTCAAAAAATTATATTTTTTATTTTACTCGCTTGTTTAGTGCACATTTTGAGTAATAATACATTTTTTTGTTTGATTACTTTGATATGATGGGGAATAAGTGATTGAAAAAGAAATTAATATGATGAAAAATATTATTTTATTGAATAATATGTAGTTGAAAATGAGTAGAAAAGTGAGAAAGGAAAAAAAATGTGGCTCAAACAGGGGCTGAATCTCATTTTTTTCTAACAATATATTTTGAAATAATAGATTAATGAAAAATGTGTGATTAAAAATAAAAAAAATTTAAACTTGCATTTAATACTATTTTATTGAAAAATGTGTAGTTGAAAAGAAAATAGAGAAAAATGTAATTTAGAAATAATACGTTTCAAACAATGTCTTATTCATAATTTTTTTTTGGTCAATAAAAGAAGTAGGTTTTCTCATATGTTGGACCTATTTTATGCAATAAAGTATTTTACTATTTTAAGCAAAAAATGAAATTTATGCAAAATACAAATTAGGAACCCTCTTAATTAGCAACCGATCGTCTTATTCGTAAAGCTTTCTTTAGTCAATAATAAAACAAGTGATTCTCGTGTGTTGGAGCTGTCTTATTGAAGAAGTCACGAATTAGGATTAAAGTGTAGCTAATTTAAAACTACAAAAAGCAAAACACAAGTTCAGAACCCTCTTATTTAGGTTTCCTTTTTTAAAAGAATTAAGCTAGTGTGCCAGAAAATATTTGCCCACCTGGGTGACCTAAACTAACATGGCATAGGACCGAAGTGGGGACCTGCGTGAAATAAAAAATGAAAAAAAAAAATGCTCACCCCCTCCAGCCCTCCCCAATGTGTGTGTTCACCCTTCCTGGCACACCAGCTCGATTCTTTTTTAAAAAATATTGTTTTGCTTTTGCATAGTATTTTTTTTGAAGAAAGTGTGGTTAAAAAGTGAGAAATTTTTTGAATTTATGTATAAAATATTTTATTGTGTGAATGTATAATTGAAAAATTGGGGATAAAAGCGAAGCGAGTATGAGAATGATCGGACATTCACACCCCCGTCCCGTAGGGTATTTTTGTTACCTTACTTCATTCCGATATCCACTTAGAGCGGGATGGGGTGGATTTATCACCTTATTTATTTATTTTATGTTTTTAGTTAATAAATATTATTAAAACTTTTTTTTATTTTATCAATTTGTTAAGAACAACTCATGTTCTTTTTAAAAATGATGATAATCTTTTAATTTGTTGATAAAAAATTTAAAATTGAAATTAACTTTAAACGGGACGGAAATTATGTTTCCCGTACCCCGCCCCATATCAGCTTTGGGGCAATAACCCCAGTCCTCGTTCCGTTTACCCCGATTAGGCGGATAATTCCAGATCGCAGGAATCGAGTTGAAATGATTTTTTTATCATTGTAATTGAAAATGAGTACGAGAAATAAAATAAATTAAAGTAAGAATGTCAAACGCGACTTAATTATTAAAAAATTACTTTTCAAAGTTAAACATTAATTTTAATTAAATATTTTGTATGACTCACAAGTATTATTATTCATCCCTCATAATCTAGTTTTTATCAACTTATAATTTTACCAACAAAAAAAAAAAAATTAAACAAAGGCTTAGTTAACATATCGTCTCATTCATAATAGTTCTTTGGTCAATAATAGAACTAGAGTCTCTTATGAGTTGAAGTTGTCATGTGAAAGTTACCAGATATGAAATTTGCAATAAATAATATACACTCCCTGTTTGAGCCCCATTCTTTGTCGAAAATATATTTTGAAATAGTATTTTAATGGAAAATATATGATTAAAAAAAATTGAATTTGCGTGTAATATTATTTTATTGAAATGTATGATTAAAATTAAGAGAGAGAAAAACGTATTTTAATAATAATAGGGACCAAACAAGGGCATAATAATTTTTCTAGAGTAAATCAATTCTCATTTTCAACAACACATTTTTCAATAAAATAATATTTTCCATCACATCAATAATTTTTTTTTCTTTTTCAACAACACATTTCCCATCATATCACTATTCAAAATCAATTCTTCCCCCAAAAATATCTCCCAAACAAGCTCTAAATAATTGTTTTTTCAGTAATCTCCTAAGGGAAAATTGCAGCAGCGGTCCCTAATCTTTTCAGAATTTGTAGACTTTCTCCCAACCTTCAATTTGAACCAACGAAAGTCCTTGACCTTTCATAAATATGCACTTGGACTCCAACGGATGGAAACCATCCATTTGACCATTAGTTGATCAAGAAAAGTGGATTTTGACCACATTAAAAGGGAGTAAAATGGTAACTTTTTTTATTTAATCCTATAAAACAATTAAAATAACCAAAACAAAATAAAAATAAAAGAAAAGAAGACTATGCATCTCCTTCTTAGGGGATGGGGTGTGTGCGTGCGTTAAATCAGAGCCACAACCACCCACTGTCACGGCCACAACTACCACACCTTTCCCAAACCTTAACAAAGCTTTCCTACTGCAATTATCTCTGTTTGGGACTACCACCCACTGTCACGGCCACAACCACCACACCTTTCCCAAACCTTAACAAAGCTTTCCTACTGCAATTATCTCTATTTGGGACTACCACCATCACTGCAATTATCCCCGTTTATGGCCACCACCTCTGTCGCTACACCTTTCACCACACCAACAATAGATCTTAGTAAAACCAACCACCACCAAAATCCAACCCGCCATTTTCCTCACTCCTTCGCCATTTGGACAATAGACTTGGGACTCCAACAACCTCCAGTTCAAATTTATACAACACTATTTATGAAAAATCTCGTCGTCCATTTAAAAGTAAAACCTAATTAATGGTGCTCAAGCTCCATTTAAAAAGCAAATTGAGGAGTCAAACATAGTCAAGCCTCGCATGCCATTTGGTTACTTGATTGGTATGATGTTTTTGCTGCAATCTTGCTATGAAATACAAGAAATTTTTCTAAATCATCTTGTCCCAGAAATTGCTTTTTCCAACAACTGAAATGAAGAAGGTCAAAATCGGTTGGTTTTGGTTTGATGGTGGTGGTGGTAGTGGTAGTTTACAGTGCAACTCGTGTGAGATGGATGATCGTGACCGACGGTGGTGCCGATGTTGTTGTTAGCTGGAAAACGAGATGGGTGTAGGGTAGGGGCTGAAGGAGAGAAACCTTTTTTTTTTTTTGTTTATTTATTTAACGTGGAAATTATAATATATAGTTATCATTTTACCCCTTTTAATTTGGTCAAAATTGATCAAAATTGGTCAAAATTCACTTTTTTTGGTCAATTAACGGTCAAATGGATAGTTTTCATCCAATTGGACTCCAGATGCATATTTATGAAATGTAAGGAACTTCCGTTGACACAAATTGAAGGTTATAGTAAAGTCTAAAAATTGAAAATGTTAGTACCCTACTGCAATTTTCCCATCTACTCCAAACCTTAACAAAGCTTTCCTACTGCAATTATCTCTATTTGGGACTACCACCATCACTGCAATTATCCCCGTTTATGGCCACCACCACTGTGGCTACACCTTTCACCACACCAACAATAGATCTTAGTAAAACCAACCACCACCATCAAACCAAAGCCAACCACCAAAATCCAACCCGCCATTTTCCTCACTCCTTCGCCATTTGGACAATAGACTTGGGACTCCAACAACCTCCGGTTCAAATTTATACAACACTATTTATGAAAAATCTCGTCGTCCATTTAAAAGTAAAACCTAATTAATGGTGCTCAAGCTCCATTTAAAAAGGAAATTGAGGAGTCAAACATAGTCAAGCCTCGCATGCCATTTGGTTACTTGATTGGTATGATGTTTTTGCTGCAATCTTGCTATGAAATACAAGAAATTTTCCTAAATCATCTTGTCCCAGAAATTGCTTTTTCCAACAACTGAAACGAAGAAGGTCAAAATCGGTTGGTTTTGGTTTGATGGTGGTAGTGGTAGTTTACAGTGCAACTCGTGTGAGATGGATGATCGTGACCGACGGTGGTGCCGATGATGTTGTTAGCTGGAAAACGAGATGCGTGTAGGGTAGGGGCTTGAAGGAGAGAAACCTTTTTTTTTTTGTTTATTTATTTAACGTGGAAATTATATAGTTATCATTTTACCCCTTTTAATTTGGTCAAAATTGATCAAAATTCATTTTTTTGGTCAATTAACGGTCAAATGGATAGTTTTCATCCAATTGGACTCCAGATGCATATTAATGAAATGTAAGGAACTTCCGTTGACACAAATTGAAGGTTATAGTAAAGTCTAAAAATTGAAAAATGTTAGTAACCCTACTGCAATTTTCCCATCTACTTGTAGTATATTTCAAACTCCTTTAGTTTACCTATACTATATTCAAGTGCTTTTTGTAAATTTCAAAAATGCATTTTCACAATTAATTAATTTACAGTAAAAATACAATTTTTTTCCCAAAATAATGTTGGAAATTCGAAATTAGTTGTGGTCAATTTGATTATTTAAGTTGAATTTGTTTTTTGGTGAATGAGAAATTAAGCCTAATAAACACGTGAAATTGTTGAAAAATCGTGTAGAATATTGTGAAACATTCTAGAAAAATGTGTAGATGAAAAGATGTGTCTTTTCACACGAAAGATCATGACATTTGAAGATCATGACTCTTTGATATGATTACTTTTCAATAATTATGAATCTTAATTTCAAGATATGTCTCTTGGTATGGTTATATCTTTTGACAAATCTTTCCAACTACTATATATAGATCCCCACGTGTTTAGATTCATATAGTTCAAAGTTAGTCCCCATATCATTCAATTCCATGTGTTACAATTTAGGTTGCATAAAACAATTGCATCAAAATCATGGTTATGGTAGAGAGAGAATTCCGTTCGAGTTCGTTAGTCGAAGTCATTTGGAGTGCTCCTATAGCATGACATGGTCGTTGTATCTTTGGAGATGATTACTAGAAACCGTTAGCACCGATGCGAGGTAAATTCATCTTAAGGAATAAGGACAAAGTGTCAAACACTTGCCTCGACCAATCGCATCACTTGCATCTTTCTTCTTTCTAATTTCATTCTAATTTAGAATTCTGATTTCAGAAAGTAATCAATATTCTTTTGATTTCATGCAATGTTTGAATTGAAGAACAACATCCGTTCACTCATATTGGGAAGTGACGAATCCATTCTATTATATTCGAAGTATCCACTTATGGCAAAATTTCAATTCAGTAAGGCGTGCCCACGCCTTAAGTAAAATTCACTAATACGGTATCTATTCTGTATATTCGGTACACAATTAGTGAAGCTTGTCCAACAACATCTATCAACACGTGTTCGACTTCAATAATTATTGCTTGTCTTCTCAAATCCCATTTTGTTTAGTCGAATTCTATTTCGATTTCATGAGCATAAAAATGTACGTTTTGATTTGAATATAATATGCACATTATCGATGTAATATTTCCAACAAATAATTAGTTAAAACCCGCTGTTTGGCTTTTCAAGCAAAGAGAGAAATTTGGTATAGGCATAATAATGGGGGGATATAAGCAAATCAATATGATATTTTTGACAGCTGACTGGCTTTGTATCGAATGATTCCAGTGAGATGAACAAAAAATTGTAGTCCAACATCAGATGTAGATCATAGAAGAACATAATCAGTTTTAAGGTCAATGATTGTTCACTGCTTGTCGCATTTACTCATTGAGCTAAATTAAGATTGTTTTGGTTGGTTACTTGGTTTATAGTTCTGTAACTCTATTTTTCTTTGGCAACAGGAAACGAGAAGTTGCTGTGAAAATTGTTATATCGTTGAGGATCGTAATTTCTTATTTCAAGTGCTTGCCTATTGACTAGCTAAACTCTCTACCGAAGTGGGAAGCCTAACATTAGTTACGTTCCATTGAGCTTTTAAAAAACTCAGGAAACTGCTTAGTAACTCTAAGGCATCGGTAAGCATCACAGTTGTTAAGGGATAAAATCTCACATCGAATAAAGATGAAAACATAGACCAATTTATAAAGGTTTGGACTACTCCTCTTAATAAGGTTTATCTTTTAAGATGGAATTTCAATCTTAACAACAGCTAATGCCAAAATATGTAATTCGAGTTCAATTACCAGTTGTTTCATCATTCCAAGACAAATAAAACATGATATGAAGAAGAATTACAGACATATTCTTAGGGGATCATGCAGGAAATGCAGAACAAACGCGTCTCTTCAGTCCATCAGGTTCTGGTTTAAAGGATGGACTGTTTATTTTACATAAACAGAAACAAGGTTCTTGAAAAGAAATGGTACAATTGACAGAAGATAGAGAGCATAGCATTACAATGCTAATGCCATTCACTTCCATAGAGAATTCATTTTTATCAGTTTGGAGGGTTTGAGTTTACCTTGCTCCAAAACTGTAACATCTCAACTCCTCCCTTCGTGAGAGTCATACGAGCTTTTGCGGCGACGCTCATTATGGCCCGCCAAGCGCCTACGACAACTTCTTTTAGCTTCATCAAATTCCGACAGTTCATGAAACCTGCAGAACATCGTAACCGTCCAGATGTTAATTCCACATCTGTCCATACTATGTTGCATTTCTAGTATCTAATTGCCCCTGAGAACTCTCAAGGGCATGTGCTGTAGCGTTTATTTGCCACAGACAACTGCTTATGGTAGATTTTAGATTAAAAATATTGTAGCACGTCCGTGTAGAGTTCTAGTTTTGGTTAATAAAAATACCATACTACTATTTTCTTTCTTAGATATTTGGCCTGTTAAAGTGAAATTTGAGATGTCACACAGTTCTATTACGCCTTCCCGTTATTTTGGCCTGTTTTCATTCATGTGATGAGGTGTACGTACACACATTTTTGTTTCACGTTTGGTTTGCATCCAGTATCACATAAGGGTGAACACGATTCGATTTGGACAGTCTGTGTCAAATTCTAAATCAAACCAGACGACTTCACTTTCTAAATCAAATCAGACGAAACAACTTTTTTCGATATGGTTTGGTTAAACAACGAAAGATAATATATATCGAACAAGTTAAATCATGAATATTAGTCTCAAATCTCAGTAAATCTGACCTCAAAACTTGCATAGGCACAACTGCAACAGAACGAATTTGAAATAATCCTTATTATCAGAAAAAAGTAATTAGGTTGATTGCTAGGACAATAGTAGAGATTCAATAAACTAAGTTCATAGAGCAAACTAGAATGAAATCACGATAATTGCCTATAAATTCTAGCAACTAAGTTCAAAAGTAAATAATAAATTGAGTGGCAAATTACACAAAAACAAATCGTTCAGCTAAAAATTTAAAGGAGTCCAACACAAATACAAATAAAATATAGCAAATAATTATTAATTAATAAATAAAAATAATAATCAAGCAAATTGACCTGAAAATTAAGCCAAAATCTGAGACTGTCAGTAGAAGGAAAATAAATGGTGAGTTTAAATTACAATTTTTGGGCGGCCTATAAAAATGGTTCAGCCACTGTTTTTTAACACTTCAGACAATTTGAGATTTTTGGGTCTAATATGGATGTCTTATTAATTGGGTTGCGTTTAGTTAGTTGGATAAAATTTAAATTAATTTAATTTTAGAATTTTTTTGTAAACGATTTACGAAAATTGAAATATAAACCAAACCCCCTTTGAAGCGGTTTAGTTCGATCCAAAACCAAAATATTGACGATTCCATGTAAACTCAAATCTAAGCATTAAAAAAAAAAAAAAAGCGATTTCAGTTCGATTTTTTGGTTTGACGATCTCGTTATTCAGCCCTAGTATCATGTATTCAATGCTGAATTTTACATGTTAGCCTTGATACAAAATGCCACTCCAGTCATTACAAATGAAAATTCAAAATCTGTGCCTATAAACTTGATCATCAGCGTTTACTTATTTTGTGCTCATGACACTGTTGTTTTACTCTGTTGGCATCCCTTTACTCCACTATATGTTTAATAACTTTCTGTTCTCTCTTTTTGGTTAATTGATTAGTTTATTCTCGTGCTTATTTTACTTTATCTATGATATAATGAGCCAGATAGTCCTCTATACCTTACTTTACAGATACTTAAGTATATACAAAAACAGATTAAAAAAGTAGAATTACTTGGCATATTTGGGATTTCAACCTGCTGCACTGTTGACAGAAACGCTGTTGGATCCCGGAAACCAAAACTACCGGAGCCTTAGCATGAAATTCACAAACTTTATGGCGGCGATGGTAATTTTTGGCATCCGTCATATCAGTGGTGCAGTCTTCTATTTGACAAGAAGGCTTTATTGATCCTTCTGCACCTGATATTTTTCTTCCAGAGACTGTCAGTGCTCTTTTCTTTTTGTTATCTCCTCCAACATCTTCGTCTTCCTCCTCTTCGTCGTCGTCCATCAGGATCCCCTTTATTTCTGCTTTGCTCATTTCCATTTCTTTAGAGCAACAAAGGTGTTTGGACAAGCACAAGAAGATGAAAGTGGAACTTGAAAGGAAGGAGAAAAGGAGAGTGGGAATATGTGGACCACAAGCATCATTCTCTTTATTTGGTATCTGGGCCTAATACCGGGTTTGTAGGATTCTCAAGTTAAACTGGGCTCAAAGTCGACATTTTTTATAGGCCCATAGTTGCTTTTACAAATTAAAATTTTTTTTTTTAAGCTTCACAAGTCATCGGGTAGCACAAGTGATCGGCCGATCGGGTAGCCTTTCATCTGTCCATGAATTCAACAGCAGTTCAAAGATTGTCCTATTTGAAAATCTTGGGATCTATTCCTATTTTCAACTTCCCAAAAACATTTCATCGATCATTACGCCATTTTTCGTCTGTTGTTCTATTGAGATCAATGATGTATAAAGTCGTAAAATCACTTTTAAAATCAATCAAACTTCTTGCATAAATTTGGTTAGTCGCTTATGACTTTCATAGCCTTTTCCATTGCTTGAACATTAATAAAATCATATACCTGATGCTATTGAAGATAATGTAAATCACATACCAGATGCCTGATTGTAGTGGACATTTATTTACTAGGTGGAGTGGAAGTATTGATGTATATTATGTATAGCTGGAAAGTGAAAAGTTAGAGGTGTGTATGGTCCCATAGTATTGATTATTGTGTGAAATGTGTTGTACATCTGTTTCTTTCATAATTGGTCCTAGTCTTGATTTAGTGTAGCCAATTGATCTGCAGCAAAATGGCCCTCTAGCATTGGCTGTGAAAGTAGGATAACTATCACTAAATAATATTATATTGTTTGGTCCACCTCTATTCTACGACAGCCATTTGTTTGATGGCCCTCTAGTGCTTTAGCGGGGTCTTGAAAGGAAATTGATCAAAATATTACGGCACGATGGTCCACAATATTGAATTTGTATACAACTGTTAAGACCCCTCTCGGTCAATTTTGTGTTCTCGTCCTCTTGGTTTTTGTCGGCAATGCCTGCCATTTTTGGAACTAAATAGACAAGAGGCGCGGACGAAACGCCACATCTTGATAGTAAGCGTGAAATTAAGCGATCAACTGTCAAGTTGCAATCGATTGCTTAATGTGCGACTAGATCTAGCCACGCTTTATTAAATTAACTTTTTCCCATTTTTAAAAGCTTTTTATTTGATTTTAGTTTATTAATTTTTTTTTTTCATTTTTTCAAGAGCCTTATTTGACTTTAGTTTAAAGTTTTTAAATAACTTTATCCGTACAAAAAAAAAAAAGACATTATGTAATTATGAGACTTATTGTTTTGTTGGAAACTTCAAAAGTATGTATAGAGTTCTTATAAATCTATTAAGTAGGGATTGTCCAGTTGAAAGTTGAAACTTGAAAATAGTCTAATTTTTATATTTCGAAAACTTGAAAATTGTATAATTGAGTAATTGTAGAAATTATTAGGTAAATATAGTATTTTATAGTTGTAGATGTTTGGTATGCATTATTTTAATTATTAAATAATTTTTAAATGATTAAAAAGTTAAAAATAATATTAAAAATAAGAAAATATTTTTTTACGTCTATGCCTTGTCTAGACTCGTAAAGTTTGAAATTTGGCCTTCATGCCTAGTCACCATTTTCGCTTTTTAGAACATTGATTACATATGTACATTTTCTTGTGTTCAAATTAATGCACATTTTTGGAAAATTATTTTTTAATTGGATTAATAGCAGAAAGCCCTCATAGAAACATTTCCATTTGCGATATACCCCATTATCTATTGAAAATCGTAGAAAATCCCACTATTTGAAAGCTTTTGTGCGAAAACCCCCGTCGTTAACATCCGTTAGATTTTTCCATTTAAAATAGTAAAAAATGCCAAAATTACAAAGAAATAATTGCAATTTCAGTACCCAAATTTGTACTTTTTTACAAATTAAATCCAAATATTTTATATGTGCAATCCACAATCCCAAAATTTAAAACTTTATTTTTTACCATACTCCATCATACCCCCACTTCCTCTTCTTCCCCAATTTTTTTTTTTTCAAATAAAAATCAATTAATTTAAAATAATTAAA